ACTCTGTTTATGTACTTTTCAAATAGAAGATGTATTTACTTCATATCATCTTTGTAAATTCTATTCTTAGAAGCTCATGATTTGTACTACCAGTCCTTGAGGAATGTATAAGATTTAGATAATTCCTTTTGTTTAATTGTCTTATTAATATTAATGGAATTGGATAGTTATTAGTTGGCTTACTTAGCGAGTTGGGTTAGGTTCCATCACGACTAGTGGATTTTGGGTCGTGACAACAATATACCACAAAATAGTCCACACACCCTAATCACTTCATACATAAAACGACAGCCAAAGTAGTGTCAAATAACCTAAAACATGTAATGACGAATGATCAGTCCACCATTCCGTCATTATGCGGTGTTTCTCCACACCATTTGTCCTCCAAAACTCCATGAAATAGTAGCAAAATAGACAGCCCAAAGGCAACGCAAAATTGCCCAGAAAATAGTCCACTACAAGTTAAATAACTCGAACTCACGGCTTCCGAACACCGTCCCGTGAGTTCTAACTATTAGAAAACGAATTTATCAACCTTTCTTGATATTTAAAAGCTTAAATATAGAAATTAGGCATATTCTTAACTATTAAATACATTCTAAAACTCAAACTACAAAGAAAAAGAGAGACGATATAGCGATACTTACGTCGTAGGGATCGTTTTAATGTTATCGCTACTTGATTTCGTGTCCGGGATGATAATCTTATTTGAAGCACCTGTAGAGAGCTTAAGGGTAAGGTTAGAGGTGTTATTTGGGCGTGCTTTTTGGAAAAATGGAGAAAGCGACGAGCTAAGGGATGTAAATATCCCATTTTTTAAAAAGTCAAAAAGGTGCTACTTGGCACCCTATGATTGACCCTTCTTCAGACGCTTATAGCTTTTTATCTAGATGTCGTATGAACGAACGGTTAAGAGAGTTGGAAACTACATTTCAAGACCTTCAATTTGGTATATAATATGTCCCAAAACTACCCCATATATAACACGAAATATATTGCTAAAAAACCTCCATTACAAGGCAAATCCTTAGTCGGTTTTTCCGAAACATAAATCTGATTTTCCCAAACTTTATATTTTATATCCCAACATCATATATAGTCATATCATGACTTTAAACTCATTTAAATCATGATTAACAGGTCTCGTATTCATCTTAACTTACTTAAGACTTCGGTAAACCTTTCTTATCCTTGTAGAAGGACTTTGTCCTTTTTGAGCTCACATTAGATAATCCTATGATGATAGTGACATCTGAAGTATGGGGTGTAACAACATGCCCCCTTAGAAATATTTTCCCCCGAATGATAACTCTTAAAGGCTTGCGAAAATGGGACGTAACATTGTTAAATCACCTTATATACTTTCAAAGAGGATCTCATTTTCAAGCTTACATCAATTGACTTACGATGTACATTTACGTACAAAAACATGAGATGTAACAAAAATAGTCCCTCGTAACCCTGATACTAGGTCTGATTTCTCTAAATCACCTGATGCTGACCCTGAAGCCTTTCGGTCGGTGATGACGGAGAAGGTATTGGAGAGCTTAGGGATAAGTTCGGCATTCCCAACCACCTCGAATTAATCCCGATTGGGTGGGATACGGTGCAGGTCCACCGTCATGGTACTGCGCCTTCTATGCCTATCCCTTCCAAGTTGGCTATACTCTCCATCTTCTTCCACCGACGGAGGAATTTTGTCGTTATTACGGTGTTTGCCCAGCTCAGCTCACGCTGTACGTTTACAAACTCATAAGAATGATCACCAAGTTTGCCGAGCTGGTCGAGGTCGAACTCACACTTCGGCATTTAATACACCTATTCGCACCTAGCTTATTATAGGGGGACAATGTTGAATCTTCGCCACCGAGGAGGCAAGTGCTTGGTGGTAAAAATGGATGATAAAGCTAAACGCCAATTTTGGTTCAACTTCTTCTATGCCAGAACCGAGGACGTGGTGTCCAACGTCGACGGTTTTCCTGAGGTTTGGAATTGTACTTGTAAGTACCTAGTTTCCTTGTTTGTAGGTATCTGACTTTTCTCCCTTGCTTGGTTTGTGGGTTTTGACCTCTGGTCCCTTTCTCGTGCAGCTAAAAACTCACCTCCTCCTTTGGTCGAGGACATTTTTGACTGGGTTGGTCAGCTCCTCTCTCACATCGTGGGGATTCGTGAGTGGCTTCTTCAAGAGGTTTGGGCCTGCTCTCCCTTCGCCTAGTAAGTCCCTTTTATTATCGAAGTCTTAGTTCCTTTCCTTTTTGTTTACCTTTGCTGATCTTCCCCTTTTCCTGTGTTTTTTCTAAGCTTCGGCTAGGGGATCTTTGAGGAGGTCGAGAGCCCCCGCCCCCTCATTCCGAAAAAGAAAAGTTACTGCGTCCTAGGCTTCCACTCAATCCTTGATTGCAGCCCATTCTATTCGTGCCCTGGTGCATTCATCTACTGCGGTTGTTTTTGCTCGTGCCCCAGTCCATCCTGTTGTAGCGCCCAAACCTGCTCCTTTTTAGACCATGGGGGCTTCGACCGTGGAAACCCCAGCCTCTCCATTATACCATCTTATGGATAAAGACTATGAGCATGTGCCTGGCGAATGTGATTTGATTTCCTGTAAGAGGACATCTGTAGATGCTGGCGACTGGGTTGTCCGGGATGTTGACTTAATGGTGGGTGACTTTTCGTTGTGCAAGACGAATACTATTATCATCGGTGATGATATCGAGCCGGTGTCCGAGATTACGAGGTTGGTGGAAGCCGTCATGGCTATGCCTCTCCCATCTATAGTGGCGGAGGCGGAAGGACCATCCGTTGACATTCTCGATACTTCGAGGCGAGATGAGGCATCGACTTCCCAACTAGCTGCTGATACTTCCTTGCCGGGCAATGAGAGAGGTAAAGGCGTTGCTGAGGAAGGTGATGAGTCGGGTTCAGACGTTGACACAGACGACCTGAAGATGATGGAGGAAGGGTTTACCCAACTTGGGATGAGGTTGGAGGGGTCTACGAGGACCATTGTGATCCCTATGGATCGTGACTTGCTGAAGAACACAGAGAACGTAGTCCCTGCTCTCTATCATCTTTGTTCCGAAATAGAGGGTAAGACGCTCAAAGATCTGGATGACGTCACTTTGTCGAAGAGCATTGCCGATCTTGCTCTTAGGGTAAGTGTTTGGTGTTTTGTCCTTCTCCTCTTTTTTGTCTTTGTTTTTTGGGGCAGAGAAGCGTAGAGAAATTTTTGTGAGGTTGAAAAACAAGTACTTCGAGTATCGTGGCAAGTACCGAGAGTTTCGCAGGCGATTTCGTGAGGGCGGTAATATGCATGCCCTTCATGATAAGTTGAAGGAGAAGGATGATGAGCTGGTGAAAGCCATCGAGAAGTGTAGCGTCCTTGAAGGGACGTTGAGCAGTTTGGAAAAGGAGCTCGAGGTCAGCAGGGGCATGGAGGCCCAATGCAGTGACCTTCAAGAACAAGTGGTCGAGCTGCGTGGATAATTGGAAGAATGTCGGCTTCAGCTGGAGGCCCTTAATGGTGAAGTCGCCGAGAAGGAGAGTGAGCTTGGGAAGCTCATGGTTTTAAATTAAAATTGATCTTTCATTTCTATCACTGTAAATTAATATTAATCTAACTTTAGCAATACCCATCTCTCAAAATCTTATAAAAATAAAATAGTAAAGCAAAATAGAGTCCAACATAATGTGAAAAAGAAAAATAAGTAATGACCTTGCTTGTAAAGTTATTTTCCTAATTAATATTTAAATAACTTTAAAAGGTGTATTTGTGTGTGTGTGTGTATATATATACATACATATNTTATTGGTATCTTACCAGTACATTTAGTAGCTTTCATGGATTTTCCTATGATCAAAAATATATTTTATTTGAGCTAAATTAATTTGGCAAAAGTAATTATGACTTTGAAAAATCAAGAAAGCTTTAATTAGTATTTTCCAAAATTTTCTTTGAACTAATACTTGATCTACAAAATATGAGTATATATAAAGAGTAATTTAAGAAGATATAAAGAATAACTTAGTTAAATAATACTTATATTAATGTTATTAAATAATTCTCTTAATGCACGTGTCAAAAACTTAGAAGCATTTATTTTGAATGAAAGGTAGCATCGTCTAATAAACTATCCATAACTATTTTAATAACTTGATATTTTAAGTAAAATTTTATGTTATCAGTGCATATAAATTAATAATTATTTTTACATTCTTTACCTTCCTATACTACATATGAAACTTTATTACTCTTGCTAATCAAGTTTTAACTTAATTACATGGCCATATACAATTTATCAATTATATACAAATTAGTTTTAAATGTGTATCTCTTTGTGTTAGGAATTGTAGACATGTAATTTTTTACCCTCCCCAAAAATTTTCACCTTTTTAGTGCTTAGATGTTGGTTTTAGGCCTAATATCGCTATTTTGACTATTTAAATTTTTTTGCTTTATTTTATTTTAAAAAATAAAAAGTACAAAAATATTTTCCTCTATTCTAGCTAATTAGTATTTTGTCTAGCAATTTTTAAGTTATTTAGTTTTAACAAAAATGAAAAAAAAGAAGAAGAAGAAAACAAAAAGAAGAAAGGAAGAAGTCACGTACTAGGATTTTAGCTATTGGTATTTTTGAGCTTCTTTGTTTTTCTATATTTTTTTTCATTATCAAAAACAAAAACAAAAACAAAAAGAAGAAAGAAACAAAAAGGGAAAGAACGAAATTACTACTATTATAGAAGCCGCTAAGCAGAGGAGCTCCGGATTGTAGGGGTAACTTTGGGAATTAGATTCGGAGAGTTGCTAACTGATTGGATATTGCCGGATAACTACAAAAACCAACTATTTTGATTTGCCACTGAATTGCATAATTACATGTGTCAGACACGTGCTATCCCATTTATCCTTAGCATTTACACGTCCTTAGAGAACTGAATTTGAGTTTGCTGTGTTCTTTCTCAAATTAAATTCTCCCAGTTAGATCGAACTCAACGAAACCCCNAGTCTTCCATGTCGAGCTACTTAATTTAGACGGTCAGTTTTATTTTCCTGATTTTTTCCTTTATTTATCGAACCTTTTGTTTGGATCTGCACGCGTTTACTATTCTTAGTTTTACTTCCAGAATCCGGACTTCTAATGAATTGAAATTATTTAAATTGTCTAAAGTTGTTGGCCTGTGATTTTCTGTTTTCATCTTCTGGGGTGGTGTGGAATGGCGATTGGTGGTTTTGGAAAAAGATTTGTATTTATGTGCTTATCTTTTTGAAATGAGGGATACAAACATATTCTCTATGTGAAAATTTGTAATTATTGGATTGTTTTTGCACGAATTTTGGTACGAGGCATGGTTCGGGTAATTAGGAAGCTTTTAGAGCTGGTTGACTTTAGCTGACCAAAATGGTTTAGCATATGATGTTCCCAAATGTGGCTTATCTGTGTAATCCGTGAGATGCATGGTTTAATTAAAGGTAAAATAGATTAAAAGATAATTTTTTTCTAATGAGTGTAACTTCTGTAATGAGAAGTACTACCAATTGTTACCAAATATTAGCTAATTCAAACATTAGCTAAAGGTGATCACTACAAAAATTTCTTCTATTCAATACTGATATAACCATTACAAAAGTATTGTTAAGGGTTATTCCTTGTTAAATCTGCTATCGAATAAAAAGAACTAAAGTTTTGACAAGTCAAATTGTGTTGCCTAAACTAAAAGTAATATTTTAACAGATCATAGTAGTTGAATTTCATGAGACCGGGAGATGTTTTTGAGATGCCAACTCCAGAGTCAGATTTATCGTCGCACTAAATACATATTGTACAAAATGCAAGAGTTCATCTCATGCTTCCTGTTTAATTTTTCAATTGTATATATATTCTTATGCTTGACTGAATTTTTCATGTACTCCTTTGCTTTTACCATGTAGATAACATAAAACTAGCACAGATTATTTAATATGACAAGTTTGGCGTAATATCCATGAAAACTGAAAAGTACTCTTCCTCCCTTAGGCAAAAAAGATGAAACTAACAGAATTGATTCTACTGGAAAGGCTTGGCAGAGATGAAAGGAATTGGTTAGCATTGTAGTTGACAATCAAATAATGACAGTCAATCCTCATAAATATGTCTCATCAGTTTCTTTCGAAATGCTCCCTAGGAACTCGGTGAAATAATTATGCTCTTCTAGCTCGCATTTGAATTTGATGGTAACCTGATACATTAATGGTTAACGCATAATGCATAATGCAAACTTCTTTCTGGTTTTGTGGTTAGGCTTGAGTCTATAACTACAGTATGTTACAGTTAGCGTCTAGAGATCTTGTGTGGCCATTGGATATCAATGATTTTGTTTGAGCATATTATATTTGTTGAGGTTTTTGTTATTTAAGATGAAATAGTCTTAAAATGAGGGTGAATGGGAAATGGAGGGAAAAATAAAATTTTGAGTAAAATTTTAAGTTTCTCCCTCTTGACAATGAGACATTGTCCCATATTGGAAGAGGAAAAGATTTTTGGTGGGTATATATATAATTGCTCTTCTTGTAGCTCTTAAAGAGTTAAGAAGAAAGCAAGCCTCGCGCCGTCGTCGTCGTCGCTCGGATTTGGATTTGGATTTTTTGGACCAAATTTATCCAATCCGTGTATTGACCACCACCTGCAATAGCAGGCCGCCTAATGCTCTTCCCACCATGGCCAAATGCTTGCTCCACAAATAAGCTAGTGCATGCTTCACAATGGAGGGTGGATGGTCGTTCATCTTTAAAGCTGACTGCTATAAATATGTGCAACAGCTGTTGAAGAAAGACACACAACACCAAACGAAATACACCAAAAAAACTGAAAACGCTCAACTTTGGCTATACATTGCACTCCTTCCTCTCAGCATTTCCATACGATTTTCTGAGTTTCTACTCCTTTGTTCTGCATTGTTTTAACTTCAAACAAAGCAACTGTAAGTGTGATTTGCTACCGAACTTTGTGTTCGCTGAAACACTGGGGTTTGAAGTACCGCTACACCAGTGTGTGATTCGTTCTATCCTGGGAGGAAATAATCCATAACCTTGGGTACTAGGAGGGGATTAAATTCCTTAAGGAAACACTGTGAATTCAGTGAGCTCGAATTAATTACTGTTTCATTACGATAACTTATATTTTACAGAATTATTATTTACAAATACAGCAATATTGGCGGACTAACAATATTCTCAAATGTGAATCATTGACATGCCTAATTCATATTTATGACAGAGCAGAAGACAATGCAGCTGATTGACAAGCTGCTAGAGGCCACCTTAGTGCCTGCAACAGTAGCAGCATATTTGATGGTTGGTTCAAGATATAAAAAAGTCGGATGGATAGTGAAAACAGTGAATCATATTGCTAAATACTCTTAAATCACATTCTTGTATGTAGACAAAAATTATGTCCTGATAATATATAATTATGACGGTCGAAAAGCATCCTAGCAGAACTTGTTAAGTGTGCGAAGACAAACCATGACTACCTAGAGCATTATAAAGGTTTGACCTCACTGTGATTGGGCATGTGCAACGTACGGGCTAACCCTCACTAGTCAGAATAGAAAAGCAAAACAAAAGCAAGAGAGGAAATTGGAAGCGATCCCATCTTCCCACTTTTTTCTGCTATTCACGTGACCACCTTCCAATTGAGAGAATCTCTTCCATAACAAATTTTATTCTTCATCCCAATTCTGATTTTGGCATTTTTGTGACCCTCATAAAAAAGGACACGGTATTTTTACTAGGGGGACCATATGATTTTGAGCCAGCAAAATTTCTTTCTTCTTCTCCAAGTGATATATATCTCCTGTGCACACACACATTTGAGGGAGGTAGAGGCATCATTGAGAAAGGGAGTGGGGACAATACTTTGAGGGGAGGAGAGGATTTTTGGGATAAATTAGGATTTTTCGGTCCGGGTTTACGATTCCTATTCGATTATTGTCGTTGTTTTCTCGTTTGAATCTTGGAGTCAAAGCCTCGTACTTGCTGATTTTTGTATAGAGAAAGGATTTGCTTAACATGTTATGATCATTTTCTTGCCTTGGGTTAGTAGGACATTAAGAGAAAGTCTCTGTTGGGGAATTTTGTTAAGTACTGTGGGTCCCAACTATTTGTATACTAATTGTAGTTAGCTGATTTGTATAAATAATATAACCGACTAAGTGATTGTACAACTATTCATTTTCTCTGTCTTTGCAGGTTAATAACAAAGAGCTTCATTTCCAGTCTTTTTCTTCCTCTCTCACCTTCTAGAATCTTCAGTTCCTCCATAGCTAGAGCTTCTCAACATGGTATCAGAGTTCGGTGCTCGTTTCTCTAAGCTCGACTGTAATAGAACTGGAGTAATTCGATTGCATTGGTAGTTTTTCAATCTCATCAATCGATCGAGATATTTCTTCAACACAGAAGACTTCTCACTCATTCTAGGGTTTGGGAATTCTAAATTATCTGGTTGAATCTCGGTCGGATCAAGACTAATTTCGTAAGAAATCAACAAATTTAAAGTTTATTTCTCAGAAGCAATTTGTCTCAGCTACAATGGCGATCAATGAAGAAGCTAGTGATTCTCCATTTGCGGCTTCAATGTCTACGCCAACTACAGAGCTGATTGATCACAATCATCCTCTTTACATTCATCCTTCCGATACTCAAGGTTCTGTACTCACTTCTATTCAACTTCAAGGTTCTGTACTCACTTCTATTCAACTTCAAGGTTCAGAAAATTATTCAATTTGGAGTAGATCTATGAAAATTATTTTGCATGGCAAAAATAAATTAGGCTTTGTTCTAGGCACTTGTAGAAAGACTAGATATGATGTTAGCTTGCATGAATTGTGGGATAGATGCAATGCTATTGTACTTGCTTGGATAATGAACACAGTTTCACCTAGTTTGATCAGCTCTATGATCTATGCCTCCGATGCACACACTGTTTGGGAAGACCTCAAGGAGAGATTTGATAAGGATAATGCATCTAGGGCTTGTTATTTGCACAAAGAAATTGCCACATTGACTCAAGGCATATCCTCTGTCTTAGTATACTATCCTAAACTGAGAGAACTCTGGGATGAGTATGAAACACTAACACCACCACCCTCTTGTGGCTGTGCTGAATCAAGGAAACATGTAGAACATTACCAGATACAGAAGCTATATTAGTTCCTCACTGGATTAAATGAATCCTATGAGAATGCAAAGAATCAAGTGTTTATGACTCGACCCTTACCAAATCTGAATCAGGCCTATGCTATGATAGTAAATGTAGAAAGTCAGAGGATTAGTGGAAAATGTGTTTATGCTGAAAGCAATGAAGTTGCAATGATGAGTAACAAGATGTATACTGGAGGTTACAATGGTGGAGGACAGTCTAATATCAGTTCAAACAAATCAAATGCAAGTTACAAACCTAGGAACTCAGCTGGTAAAACTGCAGTCTGGTGTGATTATTGGAAATACAAGGGTCACACCAGAGAGAATTGCTTCAAACTTCATGGTTATCCATCTGATTTCAAGAACAAGAGAAGAGGGGGAGCTCCACATGGTCAAGCCAATAGTGCTGTTAATTCTGGTATTTCAGAGCCACAAGGACAGGGACATCATGTGACAACTACTCCAGCTCCAGCTCACTTTTTCACTCAGGAACAATACCAACAAATCCTGCATATGTTGAACAAGGACAATGAGGTTGAATCTGCAGCCAATGTTGTTGTTGCAGGGCCAACATGTACTGTACATGCATTCATGACCAATTTAGTGCATAATAATTGGATAGTAGACACATGTGCCACAAACCATATGGTTCATAGTTTGAATCTACTAGAGACCTATGATGAAATACTAGAGGATGCTAGGAGTAAGGTTCACTTACCAACTGGAGAACAGGTGTCTATCACTCATGTTGGTTGTTCTTTCTTCAAGAATAAGAAAGTTCAGAACATCCTTCACATTCCAGAGTTTAAGTACAATCTCCTCTCAGTGTCTAAACTCATAAAGGATTTGAGATGTCTTGCAGCATTTTACCCTGACTTCTGTGTCTTTCAGGAACTCTCAAGTAGGAAGGCATTGGGGATTGGTAAGGAAGAGCTTGGTTTGTATATCCTCAAGGAAGATGACAGACAAGTGTTCAATCAACAAGTTTCCTCTCAACTAGTATCTCTTTCTACTTCAACTGTAAATACTATTTCAGATGACATAAAAAAAGGTAGTAACCTAGCAGATAATAAGTCATGTACTGTATCCTCCTTATAGCATCAGAGGTTAGGTCATGCTCCCTTGATGATTTTGAAGTCTGTGAAAGTTTTGCATGACATACATTTTAGCCAACATCACTGTATTGTATGTCATATAGCCAAGCAATCAAGACTACCCTTTCCTGTTAGCTCCTCTTACTCTAAATCTTCTTTTGATATGGTTCATGGTGATGTTTGGGAGCCTTATAAAGTACCTACTCAAGATGGAAAAAGGTATTTCTTAACTATGGTAGATGATTACTCAAAATACACTTGGCTTTTCTTACTGCGTTAGATATTGTTGAAGTATTGAAAAACTTTGTAGCACTAATATCCACACAGTTTGATAGCAAGCTTAAATGCTTAAGAACTGACAATGGAACAGAATTTCTTAATGATCAACTATAGACCTTATTGAAAAATCAGGGCATTATACATCAAACCTTTTGCATATATACTCCTCAACAGAATGGAACTGTTGAAAGAAAACACAGGTCCATTTTGGATATGGCCAGAGCTCTCAGATTTCAAGCTCACTTACCTCTCAGGTTCTGGGGAGAGTGTGTCTCTACTGCAGTATATCTTCTGAATAGATTGCCTACTATTGTGCTATAAGTCAAATCTCCCTTTGACAAACTCTTCCAAAGGAGTCCTTCCCTGCAATATCTGAGGGTCTTTGGAAGTCTGTGTTATGCTACCCAGGTGAGGAAAGGTGATAAATTCTTTCCCAGAGCAATTCCTGTTGTGCATATGAGCTACTCATCCTCACAAAAGGGTTATGTTCTCCATGTTTTGTGCTCAAAAAGATTTTTTGTCAGTAGGGACACTGTCTTCAAAGAAGAAGTGTTCCCATTCAAACATATGTCTTCAGGTGCATCACTTTTGTTCCATGTACTGGAGCTTGTAGAACAGCCAACTCAGTCAGCTGTTGTTCCTGATGCTACTTCCTCACCAGCAGGATCTCCAACTCTTAACAATACTGATGTTGCTGACCCCAGTTCAGCATCTCACTCTCCCAGTCACTCTCGTTTGTTCTCACCAGTGTTTCCTACCACTTCAGCTTGCGAACCATCTCCCCTTCTATGCCACTCAGAAAGTCTTCAAGACTCACTAAACCTCCTGTGTGGCTAGCTGACTATGTAGTTCCACCAAAGAAGTCAGTTTGTCCTTATCCTATGAACAATCATGTGGCATATGATCATCTGTCACCTAGCTACAGATCTTCTTTGGCTGCATTCTCAGCCATTGTGGAACCTAGATCCTTTGCAAAAGCCAGCCAAGACCCTAAGTGGGTTGAGGCTATGAAGGCTAAGATCACTACTCTTAAAGAAAATAATACTTGGTCCATTGTCTCTTTGCCTCCCGGGAAGGTTCCTATAAGCTGCAAATGGGTATTTAAAGTCAAGTACAAATCTTCTAGTGAAGTGGAAAGGTACAAAGCCAGACTGGTAGCTAAAGGCTATAGTCAACAGGAAGGTTTGGACTATACATAAACCTTTTCTCCAGTGGCTAAAATGGTTACTGTCAGAGCTATAGTTGCCTTAGCTGCTGCTTCTGGTTAGTATGTGTTTCAGATGTATGTTCATAATGCTTTCCTTCAAGGAGATCTTCTAGAGGAAGTGTACATGCATGTTCCTGATGGCTTTTTAAGCCAAGGGGAGTGTCATCAGGTATAAAAACTCCATAAGTCACTGTATGGGTTGAAACGGGCTCCTAGACAATGGAATTTAAAATTAACTGAAGCTTTAGTGGATATGGGCTTTGTTCAATCTCACTATGATTACTCTCTTTTTACACAGAAAGTAGACTTAGGACTGGTTGTTATCCTAGTTTATGTGGATGATCTCCTCGTAATTGGAAGTAGTCTAGCACTAATCAAACAGGTCAGGAAAAGATTGCAAGAGAGATTTAAGATGAAATACCTTGGTGAACTCAAATACTTTCTTGGCATTGAGTTCTCTAGATCTCAAGAAGGCATAGTAATGTGTCAAAGGAAATATGCTCTTGAACTTGTGTCAGAGCTTGGTCTAGTAGGAGGTAAGCCAGCAGCCACACCTCTTGAATTCAATCATAAGCTCACATCCATTGAATTTGACAAGGAAATACCAGATGCCAATGCTACAGTGGACAAGGAACTTGAAGAAAAATGAAGTTATCAGAGGATAGTTGGCAGACTGTTGTACTTGACCATGACAAGGCCTGACATTGCCTTTGTGGTTCAAGTACTCAGCCAATACATGGATGCACCTAAGCTATCTCACATGGAAGCTGCCTTAAGAGTAGTAAGGCATATCAAGGTTGCACTTGGCCTTGGACTGTTCATGCCTGCTAAAGAATGCAAGTAGTTAGTTGTATATTGTGACTCTGATTGGGGTGCCTGTGTGGTGACCAAGAGGTCAGTGAATGGTTATGCAGTAAAATTTGGTGGAGCACTTATATCTTGGAAGTCCAAGAAACAAGGAACTGTATCTAAAAGCTCTGTTGATGCTGAATTTTGAAGTATGGCTTCTACTGTAGCAGAGTTGGTGTGGCTAACAGGACTCTTCAAGGAATTGGGGACTGATATAGAGCAACATATACAGCTTCATTGTGATAGTAAAGTTGCTATACAAATTGCTGCTCATCCCATCTTTCATGAAAGAACCAAACACATTGAAATTGATTGCCATTTTGTGAGGGAAAGGACTGTACAAGGCTTAATTCAAACACTACACATCAGAACAACAGAACAACTAGCAGATCTGTTAACTAAGAGTTTGTGCAAGCCACAACATGAGTATCTAGTAGGCAAATTGGCCATGAAAGATGTATTTCATCCCTCAGCTTGAGGGGGAGTGTTAAGTACTGTGGGTCCCAGCTATTTATATACTAATTGTAGTTAGCTGATTTGTATAAATAGTATAACCGACTAAGTGATTGTACAACTATTCATTTTCTCTGTCTTTGAAGGTTAATAACAAAGAGTTTCATTTCCAGTCTTCCTCTTCCTCTCTCACCTTCTAGAATCTTCAGTTCCTCCATAACTAGAGCTTCTCAACACATTTTCCCATTTCCTTACATGCAGTAAGTATTGTGGGTTATGTTTTGAGTTGCTTTTTATTTGCCTAGCCATTTTCATCGTCTTTTACTTTCTTTCGTGTTTTTGTTTGTTCTGAATGTCATACCTCTCATTTTGTGCACATATCTTATTTGGATGATGATGTTGGGTCGTGGGGGTGTGGAATCATAAATGAAATGAAGTTGAACATGAGCATGAAATGTCTTTGTTTATTTTAGTTAAATTTTAATTTTCTTTCGTAATCGCTAAGAGCATGTTTAGGTCGACCACACTAGGGTAAGCAAACTTTAGGCCTTTTCTTTTCTTTTATTTAAGGTGAGAGGTCGCCCCCTTAGTTAATTAATTCATCCGAGGAATGGCCCGTAGTACTTGTATTTGGAGGCCGTGACGAGTATCATGAAGAAAGCAGTGTAGGATAGATTCAAATTTTTAATATATTTTCTTTTAGTACTTTCTTTTCTTTTCTCTTATTTTTCTTTTATTAGGTGGGGACGATCTCGAGCCTCTTTTGTATTTATTTTCGCTTTTGTGTGTTTCTACCTCAATCTGAGTATTCTTTAAATCCAACCATATCAAGTATGCAACCGTACTAGTTACGGGACTCGGGGAATGCCTAACACCTTCTCCCCGAGTCAAATGAACCCCCTTACTTGAATTTCTGGTGCAGACTATGTTTTAGAGTCAAAAAAAAATTAACGGAAAATTATTTTTAAACGGTGACTTGGCACACCGAGATTCATGTCAAGTGGCGACTATGAGAAACTCCCTTTCAAACAAATATCTGTTGTCATTTTCAAATTGAAAACCCTTTTAAGCTTTTCAAATCTTTTATCCATTTAAAGGGGTAAGGTGAAGAAAAAAAGGGGTGTGACAATCTTCATTATCCAAACCAAATACACAACGGATCTTATTAAAAGGTTTGGTATGGAAAATACAAAGCCTAGTGGAACTCCCATGAGCCCGTCAACAATTCTAGAAGAAGATAAATGTTCAGTGTTTGCAAATATGCAAGATTTTAGTCGGCTCCAAAGGAATCACATCTGACTGCGGTAAAATATCATTAGATATCTTATTAGCACCACTGAGTTAGGTTTATGGTATCCTCATTCTAAAAATTATGATCTAAAAGGATTTTCAGATGCAGACGTTGCAGATGATAGAAGTGACAGAAAAAGCACAAATGGTACTTATCAATTACTGGGAAATGCATTGATTTTTTGGTAAAGCAAGAAATAAAATTGCGTTGCATTATCGACTACGGAACAGAATATTTAGTTGTTGGAAGCTGTTGCACTCAAATTCTTTGGATTATGCTTCAACTTCTTGACTATGATCTTAATCTTACTTCCCATTTTGTATGATAACACCTGTAACGACCCGACTTGTCGTTTTAAGAATTAACGCCTCGTTCAGTAACTTAAGGTCTCGAGCAGTTTTGCAATATGTATTATGACCCATGGGGGTGTGGTCGAGTTTGAATTACTGAAGATTCGGAATTAAATTAAAAGAACAATCCTTATTTAGAAGCTTAAATGTAAAGAGTTGACCAGAGAGTTGACTTTTAAGCAAACGACTCCGAAATGACATTTTGATGATGTCAATAGCTCCGTATGGTGATTATAGACTTAGGAGCGTGTCCGAAAAATTATTTGGAGGTCTGTAGTGGAATTAGGCTTGAAATGGCGAAAGATGAATTTTTGAAAAGTTTGACCGGGGGGAGGGGTGACTTTTTGATATCGGGGTCGGAATCCGATGCTGGAAATTAGAATAGCTTCATTGTGTCATTTCTGACTTGTGTGCAAAATTTGAGGTCATTCGGACGTGGTTTGGTAGGTTTCGACGTCGTTTGTGGAATTCAAAAATTTCTAAGTTCATTAGGCTTGAACCCGTGTGTAATTCGTATTTTTGGTGTTGTTAAAGGTTATTTGAAGGTTCAACAAAGTTCGTATGATGTTATGGGACGCGTTGGTATGTTTGGATGAGGTCCCGAGGGCCTCGGGTGTGTTTTGGGTGTGTTTCGGATCATTTTGGGCTACTTTGGATGCTGATTTTCTGATATCTGGTGTTGTTCTTCGCGTTCGCGAGGAGCCTCTCGCGTTCGCGAAGAAAGATTTGGCTTCTGGGATTTTGTTCTTCGCGTTCGCGAAGAAGGAAATCTCTGTTGCAATGGTTTGACTTTGGAGGCTCATAACTTGCAATCTATAAGGAATTTGGAGATGATCCAACCGAAAGTTGTAGCCCTTTGTGTCTTGTTTTCAGATAGGTAAACCGTTTGTCATTTGGAGTTGTGTACCAAAAGTTATGATGGCTGTCTGGGAAGAGTTTGGAAATCTCTGTTGCATATGGCTAACTTTGGAAGCTTATATCTCGCAATCTACAAGGAATGAGGAGATGAGCAACATATGAAAGTTATAGTCCTTTGAGTCTAGTTTCCATAAAGTTAAACCATTTGTCATTTGGAGTTTTGTACAAAATGTTATGACTATTATACTAGAGGCTGTCTGAGAAGAGTTTGAAAATGGTTGTTGGAGAATTTGTTCATCGCGAACGCGATGGAAGGGTCGCGAACGCGAAGAACAAATCCCTGGGCAGCATAATAAAGTCCAAAATCGTCTCACTATTCCATTTTTGGACCAAGGAAGCTCGGGTGAGGCGATGTTTCGAGAGTTTTTCAAGGAAAACATTGGAGTAAGAATTCCTAACTTGATTTTGGTTAAATTACATGAATCTATTGTTGTTTTTATCACTAAGTTAGTGAATTGGGTTGAAAATGGTAGAAATCCTCTAGACTTTAATTTAAGATTTGAAGGGCGATCCGTTATCGGAATTTGATAATTTTGGTATGGTTGAACTCGTATCGGAATGGGTGTTCGTATTTCGTAAAACTTTTACCGGGTTCCGAGGGGCGGGCCCCGCGCTGACTTTTTAGAATAAAATTTTAAGTTGGTGTTTTATTATCCGGAATTGTTTCCGATATATTTTAATGAAGTGGTACAATTAATTTGGATAGATTTGAGGTGTCCGGAGGTCAATTCAAGCAAGAAAGCGATTTTGGAATATCGGCATAACTTCAAAAAGGTAAGTATCTTACCTAACCTCGAGTGGGAGAATTACCCCTTAGGCATTAGGTCTTATGTGAAAATTGTGTGATTGGAAGCCGTGTACGCGAGGTGACGAGTACGTACTCGGGCTTATATGTACAAATTTTATTTGTTTAAAGATTTTGGCATTTTTATCTATTAAATTGGATAATTGTTGGCATTAGTAAATCCTTGAATTATCACGCCTCATTCCTTATTTGTCAAGTTTGTATTTTATATAATAATTTGGTGTTATTGTTACTTGGATGTAACGACCTGACTTGTCGCTTTAAGAATTTACGCCCCATTCGACGACTTAAGGTCCCGGGGCAACTTCATAATATGTGTAATGACTCGCGGGTGTGGTCGAGTTTGATTTTCGGAAGATTTAGAATTTAATTGAAAGAGAAATTCTCATTTTGAAGCTTAAATAGAAAGAGTTGACCAAAGAGTTGACTTTTGAGCAAACGACCTCGGAATAGAATTTTGATGATGTCAACATCTTCGTATGTGATTTTGGACTAGGCACGTGTTCGTATTTGGATTTGGAAGTCCGTAGGATAATTCGACGCGTTTTGGCAAAAGTTGGAAAATAGAAGATTTTTGAAAAGTTCGATCGAAGGTTGAATTTTTGATAACGAGGTCTGAATCTGATTTTGGAAATTAGAATAGGTCTGTTATATCACTTATGACTTGTGTGCAAAATTTGAGGTCAATCGGACTTGATTCGATAGGTTTCGGCATCGAATGTTGAAGTTGGAAATTTCATAATAGACTAAGGTTTCGATTGAGTTCGCACAAGACCTAACTTTAAACAATCATACCTCTCTTGCTATGAAGAGTTACATGGTGTATTAACTATAAAAAGAAAGGTCTATGTGTCTTGTTTCCAACACTTCAAACCGTTCATCATTCGGACATTCCTACAAGCAGTTATGACCAAATTACCAAAGGCTGGAAAAAGATGCAAATCTGCGACCAATTCTGCGATCTCAAAATCGTTAGGCGATCG